GTGCTTTCAATTTTTCACCATTGAGGATAATGTTTGCTGTGGGTTTGTTGTATAAGGCTTTTATTTTGTTTAGGTCTGATCCTTCCATGCTTGCTTTCTGGAGATATATATTTTTTTTAATCGTAAATGGGTGTTGAATTTTGTCAAGGGCTTTCTTTGCATCTATTGAGATAATCATATAGTTTTTATCTTTCAATTTGTTATAATGGTGTATCACATTGTTTGATTTGTGATATTGAAGAATCCTTCCATCCCTGGAATAAAGCCCACTTGGTCATGATGTATGATCTTTTAAATATATTGTTGGATTCTGTTTACTAGCATTTTGTTTAGGGTTTTGCATATATGTTCATCAGTGATATTGGCCTGTAGTTTTTTTTTTTGTGTGTGTGTGTGTGGCATCTTTGTCTGGTTATGGTATTAGGGTGATGGTGGCCTCATAGAATGAGTTTGAGAGTTTACCTCCCTCTGCAATTTTCTGGAAGAGTTTGAGTAGGATAGGTGTTAGCTCTTCTCTAAATTTTTGGTAGGATTCACCTGTGAAGCCTGCTGGTCCTGGGCTTTTCTTTGTTGGAATATTTTTGATTACAGTTTGATTTCCATGCTTTTGATGGGTCTGTTAAGATTCTCTGTTTCTTCCTGGTTCAGTTTTGGAACGTTATACTTTTCTAAGAATTTGTCACTTTCTTGCAAGTTGTTCATTTTATTGGCATATAATTGGTCATAGTAGTCTCTTATAATCTTTAATATTTCTGTGTTGTCTGTTGTGATTTCTCCATTTTCATTTCTAATTTTATTGATTTGATTCTTCTCCCTTTTTTTTCTTAATGAGTCTGGCTAACAATTTTTCTATTTTATTTATCTTCTCAAAGATCCAGCTTTTAGTTTTGTTGATTTTTGCTATAGTCTCCATTTCTTTTTCAGTTATTTCTGCCCTAATTTTTATGACTTCTTTCCTTCTACTAACTTTGGGGTTCTTCTCTTCTTCTTTTTCTAGTTGCTTTAGGTGTACAGTTACATTGTTTATTTGATGTTTCTCAAGGTAGGCTTGTAGTGCTATGAACCTCCCTCTTAGCACTGTTTTTATAGGTTTGGGGTTGTCATGTTTTCATTTTCAGTTTTTTTCTATGCATATTTTGATTTCCTTTTTTATTCCTTCCATGATCTTAACACAACGTGACTTTTACAAATGAATTTTCATAAAGCCCCATCATCTTAAGTTGGAGACTACCTATACATACAACTATATCTACTGTCACTGTTTAAAAATATCAGCCTATATTTTGAATGTCATGTTGTTGTTTAGTTTCTAAGTTGTGTCCAACTCTTTTGCAACCTCATGGACTGTAGCCTGCGAGGCTCCTCTGTCCATGGGATTTCTCAGCAGGAATACTGGAGTGGGTTGCCATTTCCTCTCCAGGAGATCTCCCCGACCCAAGGATTGAACCCCCATCTCCTGCATTGGCAAGCGGATTCTTTACCACTGAGCCACCTGGGAAGCCCTATATTTTGACTATGTGAAAATAATAAAGTCTGTTGCTAAAACTCTTATTTATAATCAAAATATAATACCAGGAAGAAAATTCACAAGTGACATGGATTCCTCTTCTTTGCATATACCCAAGAGAATTGAAAGCATAAATCTACACAAGGACTTGTACATGAATGTTCATAGGAGCATTAGCCATAATGGCCATAAAGTGGTAACGATCCAAGTGTTCCTTAGCTGATGAATGGATAACCAAATATGGAATACCCATAGACTGGAATATTATTCAGCAATTAAAACGATGAAATACTGATGCATGCTTCAACATGGATAAACCTTGAAAATATGCTAAGTAGAAGAAAGCAGTCACAAAAGACCATATATTATATGATTCCATTTAAATGTAATGTCTAGAATAGGCAAATCTATAGAGACAAAAAGCTAATTGATGGTTCCCTGGGGCTAGGAATGGGAGCAGAAACAGTGAAAATTGATATGAAGGGATTTTGGGGGACAATGTCAGTCAGTCAGTTCAGTCGCTCAGTCATGTCCAATTCTTTGCGACCCCATGAATCGCAGCACGCCAGGCCTCCCTGTCCATCACCAACTCCTAGAGTCCACCCTAACCCATGTCTATTGAGTCGGTGATGCCATCCAACCATCTCATCCTCTGTCGACCCCTTCTGCTCCTACCCTCAGTCTTTTCCAGCATCAGGGTCTTTTCAAATGAGTCAGCTCTTCACATCAGGTGGCCAAAGTATTGGAGTTCAGCTTCAACATCAGTCCTACCAATGAACACCCAGGACTGATCTCCTTTAGGATGGACTGGTTAATGTAATATTCTCAGAATCACTTGTGGTGAGCACAATTCTATCCATCTTTAGAACCATACATTTACAATGGCTGAATTTTTGGTATATAAATTGTATGTTCATACAGCTAGTAAATATTCAAAAATTATAAATGCCTCCCCAGAATTATAAATGCCTCCCCAGAAGAACCCCTGCAAAGCTTGAGATGATTAATTTCCTAAGAATATAGGCAAACTTTATAGTGTGGCATCACACACATTGGGCATATTGCCACATAAGACATATGCATATCCTGGATTTCATCATCATGGTTCTAAAGTGTTCCAAACAACTGTTTATTCTTAACATATTTGCAAAAATAAAGAGCTGCTTTTAACCCAATTAGAGCATCCCAAGAATGATACTTCCAAAGAGAAGACTGAAGGAAAAGGTAATTGCTGCTGCTGCTGCTAAGTCGCTTCAGTCGTGTCTGAATGTGTGCGACCCCATAGACGGCAGCCCACCAGGCTCCCCCGTCCCCGGGATTCTCCAGGCAAGAACACTGGAGTGGGTTGCCATTTCCTTCTCCAGTGCATGAAAGTGAAAAGTGAAAGTGAAGTCATTCAGTCGTGTCTGACTCTTAGAGGTAATTATAAAGCAATAAAATGGCCTTATGTTTTGTGTAATATAAAGACGGATGTTTCCCTGGTGGCTCAGTGATAAAGAATCTGCCTGCAGTGCAGGAGAACTGAGTTTGATCCCTGGGTTGGGAAGATCCCCTGGAGGAGGGCATGGCAATCTACCCCAGCATTCTTGCCTGGAGAATCCCCATGGACAGAGGAGCCTGGTGGGCTACAATCCAAAGGGTAACACACAATCAGACATGACTGAAGTGACTAAGCAGCAGTAGCAGTATAAAATGGATTGGCATCATGATCCTTTTCTAACCTTAAATTTTCAGTGATCAATAGGAGGGAGATTCTGGAGAGAGGGAACATATGTATACCTGTGACTGATCTGTGCTGATGTGTGGCAGAGGCCAACACAATATTGTAGAGCAATTGTCCTCCAATAAAAAAAGAAAAAGAAAAAAACTTATTAGTGGTCAACCTCATTATTTACCTTGCTGACATTTAAAAATAATTCATGATAGATTCAGTTATTTTATAATGGCAGCAGTTCCTCACTATGTAGTGAAATATGTAAACATGCTGTGCTGTGCTTAACTGCTCAGTCATGCCTGACTCTGTGACCCCATGGATTGTAGCCTGCTAGGTTCCTCTGTCAGGGAAGCCCAAATACTAAAGTTTTAGTTTTTATTAAATATATCAACAAACATTTACATTAAACCTTTTTCCTCCTAAATCCAAGCATATATTAAAAGTTAGTATATGATTACTAAACACCAGACACAAACTTTTATTGGAATATTTTATTTACATTTTATATTTAAAGAGAATCAATACAAATCGGGACCTATTTACAGCATTTCAAATCAGTGTACAAGAATGCAATGGTTTCATCCACTCTACATTTAGCCAACAAAAATACATGTCTATTCTGCTTTTGCTTAAATTCTGCTGAAATTTGTACTGGAAACAAAACTCTAAAACCAAAGATAAGCTACCGAAAATATAAAGTGCATTTTTATAATAGCTCTATTTAACTTTGGTGGATGAAGCTTCAAACTTTATATTAAGGCACCTGGAATTCTCCCCGCCCCCCAACACCAATTCTTTTTCAAATACCAAGAAAATGCATTCACAAAATTTATAGCTACATAGATAGAATTTTATTTTACCTAATGTTATTTTATAAAGCCCATTTAGGTAAAATGTAAACTCAATTTTCAGTCAACTTTGTTTGGAAAACATTTTCTATAGATTAATTTCTGTAGACAAATTCATACACAGAGATCAATTAACAATTTTTGTGTGACTTATTCATAATCATTTTCAAATGGTATGATGATTTATATATTCTGCTTTTGAAAGTCCCATAAGTAAGGTTTGAGAAATAGTTATATAGTGTTTTTGTAAGGAAAGCTTTTGTCTATGATCTTTTGTCATATTGGTGTCATTAATATACCAACCAATCCAGTCCAGTCCATATTCTCTAAGAAACTATGCTTGACACTCAAATGAAGTAAATTTAGCCTGATTTTAAAAATAAGAAATTGTTAAAATGAGTATTTTGCTTTAATCCTGTTCTATCAACTTAATGCAGCTTAAATAGATATTTCATGAAGTACTAGCCTAAGTTTGCATTGTTTTTTAAATTACAATTCCAGATCAGTATAAGCACCTGGAGAAAAACCCTGACATATATAGCCCAAGCTAAAGTAGTAGTATTTTTAATTAAGATACTATCATAAAATAAAGTGATTACAGCTGTTCCACATTTTAAAAGCAACATGTTTTGATAAAAAAAATTGTTATAAATGGAAAACATGATTACTTGACAAGAGTTTTGAATGTTTAAAAATGTTGCTACTGCTATCGAGAAGAAACTTGCCTATGAAAAACATTATAATGTGTTTGTGGGAAAAGTTAGTAGGTTTAGTATTTTAAGTCATTTAACTATAGCATAATATTAGTCATCTCAGCACTTTCAGTATCATTCTTATTTTATTAAGTTTATCCAGTTCCTTAGTAGTAAACTAGGCCCTGATTGGCAGTTCTGTTATTACTAAAGTTTTAAGTTTTCTATTGACACAGATTTTATGACTTAATTTCTTGAACAGTGGTCTCCTGATCATCTTCTTCAAAGGTTGGGTTGTCAACGTGAGGAACAACATCCACTGCCATGGAGTTTGCTTCATGGTTTACCAGCTGTAGATTTTCATCTTTAAAAAAAAATGGCATTTGAATCAGTTCTAATGAGGTGGATGAAACTGGAGCCTATTATACAAAGTGAAGTAAGTCAGAAAGAAAAACACCAATACAGTATATTAATGCATATATAAGGAATTTAGAAAGATGGTAATGATGACCCTATATGCGAGACAGTAAAAGAGACACAGACATAAAGAATGGACTTATCGACCCTGTGGGAGAAGGCGAAAGTGGAATGATTTGAGAGAATAGCATTGAAACATGTATATTACCATATGTGAAATAGATGACCAGTTCAAGTTCAATGCAGGAAACATGGCACTCAGAGCCAGTGCACCAGGACAACTGAGAGGGATGGGATGGGAGGGAGGTGGGAGGGGACTTCAGGATGAGGGACACATGTATACCTGTGGCTGATTCATGTCAATGTATAGAAAAACCCACCACAATATTGTAAAGTAATTAATCTCCAATTAAATAAATTAATTTTTAAATGGCAATTTTAAGATGCTTTCACCCCTCTGTTCTTTAAGACAAAATTCAACACACATGTCTAAGAAACCTTTCTTATCTAATTCAATCACACTCTGATTATCATACTAATTCCCTGTTTCTTTAATATGATTTTGCTGCCTTACATAAAGCACTTATATGTGTGTGCTCAGTCGCTTCAGTCATGCCTGACTCTTTGTGACCTATAGATTGTAGCCTGCCAGGCTCCTCTGTCTATGGGCTTTCCCAGGCAAGAATACTGGAGTGGGTTGCTATTTCCTCCTCCAGGGGATCTTCCCAACCCAGGAATCAAACCCTTGTCTCTGGTATCTCCTGCATTGGCAGGCGGGCTCTTTACCACTGTACCCAGGGAAGCCCTAAAGCATTTATGGCATTATATTAATTTACAATTACTATTTTGTTGATTCATACGTGTGTTTATTTTTACCTACATTATAGCATCCTTAAGAGCAACAGTTATGTTTTCTGTCTCTTCTCTATTCTAAATATAATAGCTCTTAAAATCAACTTCATGTTTGAATCACCTGGGCACTTTAAAAAATTATGTATGCTTTTTCATATACATATATCTTATCGATAAATTGATAAGATAGATCTGTGTGCATGCTCAGTCAAGTCCAACTGTTTGTGACCCCATGGACTGTAGCCTGCCAGGCTCCTCTGTCTATGGGATTTCCCAGGCAAGAATACTGGTTGTCATTTCCTTCTCCAGGGGATCTTCCCAACTCAGGGATTGAATCCACATCTGTGTCTCCTGCATTGCAGGCAGATTCTTTACCAACTGATAGATTAAGATAGGTAGACAGAAGGACTAAAGTTAATCAAACAGGAAGTTGTGGAGGGAGTTCCCAAAATGGAATACAAGTAGTAACAAGTGAATATAATTATTTTACAGATGAAATATACATAATCATTCTGAAGAGAGTGGGAAAGAAAAGAACTAACCTAAGTAATTTTGGTAAATTATATTTTGACTATATCCTATAAGGTTAAAACCAAAGAACTACACTGGTTAGTGAAATTATTTTTCACAAGGGTACGTTAGCAATGTTGCAACTTACATGTCCTTTAGGACTGAACAAATAAGTAAATATATTGAGGATAATAACAGCCGGGTTTCTCAATGTCCAAGAATGGAGTTAAAAGTAAGGAAAGAGGAAGGCTAGAATAAACTCTGTGGTGTTGGATTAGAATCATACATCAGTATGAACTAGCTGTTCTTCAGATAGGTGAATGTAGATGTGTGTATATTTGTGTGAGTACATACACATATTTCCTCACTTTGTTCCTTGAAAGGGCTAATAGCAATGACACTCCAAAAGCAATGAGCATACCTAATGCCCGATCTTGATTCTGAGGTGCTATTCTCCAATAAAAGCCCCCACTCTCCGAAGAAATAACTGATTCTAGGGTTAGCACAAGAGAGCAGATTAACCTAGATTCTAGCCTAGGGGCCAGCAAACTACAGCTCGCAAGCCAAATCCATAGCCAAGAGTGATTTTGACACTTTTAAGAGGTTGGAAGATAAAACAACACTGTCCCAGTCCCCAAAGCAACAAAGACCTAAAGTCTTCAAAGCCTAAAATATTTATTATTTGGCCATTTACAGAAAAAGTTTGCCAATCCTTGGCCTAGAACATCTTGTGATAACAGAAAGTAAGGAAGTGCTCAAAAAAAGGGGGGGGGTTATTTTGAAAGAAAATCAACCAACTTGAGGGAGTGACAATCTAAGCATGAATAAATCATGAGAATAATATTATGGAGAAAAAGAAATATCTGTGAGTCCATATTATTATAAACAGTTGAATAAATAAGTGGAGAAACGATAGCTCTTCTTTAAATTAAAAGCTTAATTAATGTAGAAAGAAGGATGGAAATAGAAAATCACCATTTGGTACACACTTCAGTAATAATTATTGTAAGCAAGAACTATCAATGATTGCTAAAATTAGTAGGTAAAAATTATGATGAGAAACAGGACATTTGCATAGTTTCCAAGTGTCTCTCAATAACACAATAATTATAAAGGGAAAAATAATAACTTTAAAAGAGGCTTGGCAGATACCACCTTAACCAAGTGAACAAAGTTAAAAACATTGATAATAAGACATGGGCATAATGTGCCTCATTATATGATATCAGGCAGACAAGATAAGATATGTGGTTTTCTTGCCAGAAATAGACAATGGACAATGAATTTAATCATTGGGAAACAGCAGACAATTCCAAATTGAAGGATATTCTTCAAAGTAACTAACTGGTGGCCTTCAGAGATATCAAAGTCAAGAAAAATGAAGACTAAGAAACAGTCACATATTAAGACTAAAAGGACTTGACAGTTAAATGTAATGTGGACTTTTCAGCAGATTGGGTATAGAAAGAACATATCCAAACATAAAGGACGTATATAGGGACTTCCCTGGTGGTCCAGTGGTTAAGATTCCAAGCTTCCACTGCAGGGGGTATGGGTTGGATCCCTGGTCAGGGAGCTAAGATCTCATATGCCTCGCATGTGTGAGATGAACTAATATTTGACAAGGGAACCAAAAACATCCAGTAGGGAAAAGACAGTCTGCAATAAATGGTGTTGGGTAAGCTGGATAAATATGCAACAGAATGAAACCGGACCCCTATCTTACACCACTGAAAAAATGAACTCTAAATAGATTAAGGATTTAAAATGCCAAAATCAACAAATGGGACTATATCAAACCAAAAAGCTTCTGCTCAGCAAAAGAAATAGTCAAAAGAATGAAAAGGCAAGCTACAAAATGGGAGAAAATATTTTCAAACCACATATCAGGTAAGGAGTTAATATCCAAAATATATAAGGAACGCATACAATTCAATAGCAGAAAAGTAAATAATCTGATTTAAAACTGGGCAGAATTGAAATTTTGGGGGGAAAAGATATTTTCCCAAAGAAAATGTGCGTGCATGCTCAGTTGCTTAGTCATCCCCAACTCTTTGCCCCCATAGACTGTAGCCCATCAGCCTCCTCTGTCCATGGGATTTTCCAGACAAGAACACTGGAGTGGGATGCCATTTCCTCCTCCAGGGGATCTTCTCGACCCAAGGATTGAACCTGCATCTCCTGTGGCTCCTGCACTGGCAGGCAGAATATTTACTGCTGACCCATCTGGGAAGCACCCCAAAGAAGATATGTGTATACAAATGGCCAACAGGTACATGAAAATATGTTCATCACTAATCATCAGGGAAATGCAAATGAAAACCACAATGAGATATTGCCTCACACTTGTTAGAATAGCTATTATCAAAATTATGAGTGTTGGCAAGGATGTGAAGAAAAGGGAACTCTGGTATACAGTTGGTGGGAATGTATATTGGTACAGCACTATGGGAAACATTTATGGAGGTTCTCAAAAAACTAAAAACAGAACTATCATATCATCCAGCAATCCAACTTCTGGGTATATACCCAAAGGAAATGAAATCATTATCTTGAAGAGACAGCTGCACCTCCATGTTCACTGCAGCATTATACACAATAGCCATAGAAATAACCTGTTTCTATTGACTGATCAACAGATAAAGAAAATGTGAGATACATATATATGTACACACACACACACACACACACAGAGGAATATTACTCAACCATGAGAAAGAAGGAAATACTGCCATTTGCAACAACATGGATAGATCTTGAGTACACCGTGCTAAGTGAAATAAGCCACACAGACAAAGACAAACACTGTATGATAACACTTATATGTGGAATCTTTTTTAAAAAAGTCAAATTCATAGAAACAGAGAATGGTGGTTGCAAGAGGCTAGAAGCAGGGGGGAATGGGGAAATGTCCATCAAAGGGTACACGTGTCCAGTTATAAGATGAATAAGTTCTTGGGAATTTAATATATAGCATGGTGACTACAGTTAACTATACTGTAGTAAATACTTGAAAGTTGCTAAGCGTAGATCTTAAATGTTCTCAACACACACACACACACACACAATTTGTAATTATTTGAGATGATAGATTTGGTAACTAATCTTTCTCTGGTTATATGTCAAGTATATTTCAATAAAATTGGGGGGAATGAGAGAAGAAGAAATACAATGTGGGATCCTAGGACAGAAAAAGGACATTAATGGGTCAACTGGTGAAATTTGAGTAAGTTCAGTTTAGTTGCTAACATTTTATCATATAATTTCCTGACTTTGATAATTGTATATGGTTATATACGATGTTAACACTTGGAGAAGTTCAGTGATGGGCATTCTTTTTACTATTTTTGAAATGTTTTTTCAGTCAGGCTGAAATTATTTAAAAAAAACAAACAAAACTGTGCTTGGGCCCACATCTCATGGATTCTGATTGAACTATTCTGGGGTAGAGTCCAGGTATCAGTAATGTTTAAAGTTCTTCTGGGTGAGTCTAATGTGCAGCAAGGATTAAGAACTAGGGGCCCTATTCTGTGGTTCTCAAAGTGTGGTCCCTGGACAAGCAGTATCATTATCACCTGGAAACTTCTTAGAAATGAAAATTCTCAGGGCCCATCTCAGACCTATTGAGTCAGAAACTAGTGGTTGCCACTCTGCTTGTTTTTTTTAAAATAAACTTTTATTCATTTATTTTAGTTTGGCTGTGCTGGGTCTTTGTTGCTGTGCATGAGCTTTCTCTAGTTGCAGCAAGTGGGGGCTACTCTCTAGTTGCAGATGCATGGGTTTCTTGTTGCTGTGGCTTGTCTTTGCAGAGCATGGGCTCTAGAGCGCTGGCTTCAAGTTGTGGCGCAGGGGCTTAGCTGGCCCGCGGAATCTGGGATCTTCCTCGACCAGGGATTGAATCTGTGTCCTCTGCATTGCAAGGCAGATTCTTAGTGACTGAACCAGGAAAGGCCCTCCCCTCTGTTTAAACAAGCCCTCTAGGTGACTCAAGGTATGCTTAAGTTTGAAAACCAGTGCTCTAATAAAACTCAGCACAATGATGGAACACACAGGCACGAACTAACCAACTGTGTTTTCGAAGATATTTAAACCAACTATCACCATAATAATCAGTGGTTAATAGGAAAGATGCCAAAACAATTAATACATAATTGTGTGTGAGTATGTATGCGCTCAATTGAGTCTGACTCTTTGCAACTCTGTGGACCGTCGCCTGCCAGGCTCCCCTGTCCACAGGATTTTCCAAGCATGAATACTGGAATGGGTTGCCATTTCCTCCTCCAACTGACAAATCTACTTTACTATTAATGTTAAATTTTGCTGTTCTAATGTTTTTGCAAAACCAATTAAAAAATTCACGGTTGTAGTCTGATCTCAAAGTGGTGGTGGTGGTGGTGGTTTAGTCACTCAGTCATGTCCGACTCTTGAGATCTCACGGACTGTAGCCTGCCAGGCTCCTCCATCCATGGAACTCTCCAGGCAAGAATACTGGAATGGGTTGCTGTCTCCTTCTCCCTCAAAGCAAAGTATATTCTCTTAATTTAAGACATATGACTGAGGCACCAATTTATCTATTAGCAGTATCTCTAAACTATAGGAGAAGTAGCCAAGAAGGAAAAGTAACCCTTAAATTATGAAACCCCAAATATCAATATATAAAAGGGATGGCAAGTGTGCCACTTCTATCCATGATTACATTTTAAGTAGTCACAAAAGTCACACTAACACATTCACCTTCAAAGATGTTGGTTTAAGTCAATTTAATATTTGATTTGTTTGAAGAGCATAATAAAGTATTAGGAAACTAAGCTTAAATTTCTTAGCTTTTATTTTTGCTCTGACTCTCTGAATGGGAGGATTTTACCCCAAGGCCATACCAATTCTATATATCCATTTATTTGGGTGCTCACACTTGTGGTGGTTGTAAATTTGGCATGCCTCAAACATTCAGTGTCTGAGCAAAATCCAATCATATGAGGAAGTAACATAGGTTGTTGACTTTATAATGGGTATTCTTAGACTGGTTTGGTTTTTGGTATCTGTTACTGACTTTAGAAATAGCATATGGCTTCTAAAAGTGAAGAAAAGGCAGGGTAAAGATGAATATTTCTGTATGTGTAACTTTTCTACAAACTATTAGATATAAATTAGAATATCTCACAAGCTCAGCATAATAATGATGACTGGAGGCCACAGTAGAACTGTAAAATAAAAAATTACAACTAAAATACAAAGAAATATTTCCCTTAGATATCAGAAGCTTATCTTAAAATACATGATTTTAAATCAGGGCTAATTTTATTTTTAATAAAACTTCTGGTTTCCTAATGTTTTCTACTCCACACAGCTTAAACATCTCTTCTAATTTATATTCTAGTTACAGGAAGCACATTACTTTATTCTTATTAAGGCAAACAAACACCATTTATGTGGGTTAAACTATTATTCTTTTTATTTTGTTTATTTATTTTTGGCTGTGTTGGGTCTTATTTGCTGTGCAGGCTTTTCTCTAGTTGTGTGAGTGGGAAAATCTATTCTGTGTGGTCACTCACTCAACACTTATTTGAGTATTTGCTGTGAGGCAGCTTGTGCTAGGTGCTGGGTATACAATAGTGAACAATAAGACACTGTCCCTACCCAAATGGACTTTTTAAGGTTTTAATACAATTCAGTGCAATAAGTGCAATGATAGAAGTTCTGTGGAAGTAGACAGTAGGGCCACACATGTAACTAAAGATAGGCTTCTCAGGGGAGCAAGTTTTCTTTTCAACATTTTATTTTGTATTGGGCTAAAGCCGATTAACAATGTTGTGATAGTTTCAGGTGAACAGCAAAGAGACTCAGCCATCCATATATATGTATCCATTCTCCCCCAAACTCAAAGGGGAGCAAGTTTTAAAGGAGGAACAGGAGTTGGACTTGGCTTCCCCAATTTCTTGGTAGAGGAAGAGTGGAAGGAATGGGCAGAGAGAAGACAGTGGTTCAAACTATGACTGTTGAATTAAGGTTAGAAATTAGGAGATGGTTTAAAGGAAAATTATATTGAATCAAAAGGAAATGGAGAGGGAAGAATCTAGGATTCTCCCTAAGTTTCTGGATTGAGGCACCTGGGTTGGTGTTCCTACCATTTATGTAGATAAAGAATACAGGAGAAGGAATACGAATCATCATTTTATTTGCTTCTCAAATTCTCTGCAAAAACTGTTCTGCCTTCCACTCTCCCCCATAAAAACTGAACACCAAGATAGTAGGTTGGGACTTTTTTTCTTCTTTTAAACTGACGTGGCAATAAACTGAATTATCCCATACACTCAGGCCTCTTGTGTAGCAGGCAAGAATTCTACCACTGAACTACCAATGCTGCTAAACTGAATTATGCCATACCCTCTCCTTTATCTTCACTGAATTCTATTAGCACACCAAAAATTCATCTGAGGCTAATAGACAATGATTATCTATTATAGGTAGAATAACACACAGATTATTAAGATTCTTATGACCACTTTGCACTCTACGAAATGTTCAAAGATTAGATTACAATATGAGGTTTGCATTTGCAAGATGGTATTTCTCGTGACCTCTGTACAAACGGTATCTATGGCACTGATAAGCCTACCAAGGACAAAGGTTCATGTCATAGGAAGCTGCAACTTTTACAAGTCATCTTGACATTTCATTTTCCTCCTATTTTTAGGCCAGAATTAGGTCATCTCAAAATGGGGACTGAGGAAAAACTATCAAACCAACAAAAACCAAAAGACAAAGGTGGAAGTTAAAGAAAGAGAAAATAATTTGTATACGGGTTTTCTCTAAGGAAAAAAGTAACAGAATTCCCTAAAATCTCTCTACTGGTATGGCATTACTATTTTGAAATTAATACATCCACTTTTAGTTTCCAAGGTTTGTTCATTTCATGGCAAATAACAGGTGGCAGCATACTGTTCTTAAACACAGTTTCCCATCTGGCAAAAAAAGGAGGGAGTAGTTCTGGAGAAGTTGTGTATAAATAAAAGTTTTGGAAATTAAATCATATTTTATCATTCCATAACTTCTTTGTCATAATTTCTGGTTGATATGCAGTAAAGAATGGCTTCTAACGTTGAAAACTTGTCCTTAGCCTCTGTAAGTTAATAAATCAACACTTACATGCATTGGAGAGCAACTTTCCAATAAAAAATCTTTTCTTCTGTGAATAATCCCCATTCTTAAAGCATTTCATCTGTTTCAGGTATATTTGAATATGTGTATATTAAGTCGAGAGGGGTGCATCCTGCATTGCATCACTGTCACTAGAAAAAACCTGGAATGTGTTAATTGTGTTAATGGATGAACAGAATAAATGCTAAAAAACAGGAGTACTCTGCCTGGGTGTCTAATCTCCAGCGGATCATTTGTGGGGCACTTGGGGCCCCTCAGTCTGGTGCTCACTTGCTGAGTGTGCATGTTCCTCCAAAGGCGGTTCATCTGCTCCCTGAACTGAAGCATATCCAGATGAAGCAGTCTCACTGCGGTTATCCTCTTCATGAGGAGAGGCACTACTGGAAGTTTCATTGGATACAGGAACTTGTAAAGACACTGATCCATCTTCAACATCCACCTGTGGAAAGCATTTGACCACATTAACAGGCTCTCAGAGTACATGCTTTTCCTTGACATATTATTACAAAGTTTCTCCCTAGGTGACTTCTTAGAGCAAGGCTTCTTGACTTTTGAAACTTACAATCCATTTTTTGATGATCACAAACATCTCTTGCTGGTCCCAGCCAGAGCACTTGCAGTAACTGGGTTCAATGGGGTGAAAGATGTTACAGGCAGACTACCATCAACATTTGACATGCTTATCTGGGTGAACACTTCATAATATAATGCCTGAGACAAGGAAGGCACTCAAAAAACAAATTCCTATGCTGTCCCCTACGAGTACTGAGAATCACTGTCATCTATATATCTCTTCAAGTCAGGAAGATTTTGTTGAGCTTGACTCTCTGTTGTGTGTATTGTGAAACAGGTAGTTTTTTCACTTATGAAAAATAATTCAATATTTATTATACTTTCTCAAACTTTACATGTTCATTTAACTACAAGTTTGGTTGCAATGCAATAATGAGATAGTAAAAAACAACAAGGGGTATCAGAAGTCAGCTGGGGTTATCACTTCAAGTTCTGACCACATAATAAGTACATTTGAGGAGGGGGAAGAAGGAGGAAAATAGAGGTGGTCCAATATAACATATCACTGTCACTATAAGTAGATTCCATTTTTGGTATAACCTATAAGTCTAGCATATTGTATAGTTAACAAATAGGATGACAACTTCCTGAAGGTTAAGATATATAAATAACACGCTGCTTAAGTTCCTTTGTATAAATTGTTTAACAATGCTTACCTCAATTCCCAAAGCTTTGAGTATGTCACATTTGCACATGGGGCAAGTCCTGTGTTCTAACAGCCATGGGTCAACACATGTCTTATGGAAAACATGGCTAATGAAGGAAAAAAACATATAAATTGGTTATGTGAAAGAGCAACAACACTTTGCCTAATATACTAACAGGTTACTCTACAAGTTTATTTGGTCTTTTAACAAATGACTTTTTTCCCTTTAAAATACACAATCACAGAAACAAAATTTAGAAATTTCATAATATATTACTTTTAAATATAAAAGCCTCAATACCCTAGCTTCATAAAAACTTCATAAAAACTATTTTCAATACCACTTACTTAAAAATATTTAAGATATTGCCTGACCTAAGATGTACAGTAATTTGGATCTTGATTATTTTGTTATACCCTAACTATAAAACAGTACAGTTAGTCATTCTTGATAATATAGACAAAAGTATTGAGTGCAAAATAATTCTGATAATTTGGGAAATGTGACAAATTCCAAGAATACCACTATTTAATAGCAAAAAGGAAGAATGTTAAGAATAACTTCCAGGAGACGGGTAATGAGAAGCTAACGAAGACTTCCAAATAGGTGCTCATAAATTGATTTTATTTTTTTCTCAACAGGATGGGCAGAAATCTTTTGAATTAAATTATCCAGTACCACACACACACAAACACACAAATAAACAGTGGTGCTGGCTACACACACACTATAAACAGTGGTGCTAGCTAGGTTCTTAGTTTTTTACAGAAGTAGTTTCCAAATTGTACCAGATTATGGAAACTTCATATAATTAGCCTTATACTATTTCCAATGATACTAAAAACAAAGCAATCATCTATATTTAAGTGAAAAGAAGTTAAAAATAAACACTTTCTATATTTGGAGACATTCAAAATAGTTTCCTGCACTATAATGATTTTTGTAAATCAGCTATTTTTATTGACAACATAAAAGAAAATCAAACTTACTTGCAGGTTAAGATGCGCACCAAATCATTTGGTTTATATAGTTCAATACACACGGCACAACTATCTCCATCAGGGCCAATTTCCTAAGAGCAAAGAGTTACTGTTATTCCAATGGATAAGAAAAATACACTAAACTACAGAGCAAGATCAGAATATACGTGTATTTAATACATTACTTAAATTCCTACAGAAGGAGCATCACATCACTAAAATGACTTTCAATAAGAAATTTAAAATTATCTAGACTTAGGGATTGGGTGGAGTGGGAGGTGGGAGGGGGGACCGGGATGGGAAATACATGTAAATCCATGGCTAATTCATTTCAATGTATGACAAAAACCACTGCAATGATGTAAAGTAATTAACCTCCAACTAATAAAAATAAATGGAAAAAAAAAGAATAAAAAAAATTATCTAGACTTAACTGGAATCTTAAAAAAAAGCCAAACTTATAGAAACAGAGTAGAAAAGTAGTTTCCAAGGGCTGCAGAGTGGGGAAAACAGGGAGAAGTTAGTAAAAGGGTACAAACTTTCAACTATGAGGTCTGAAGATCTAATATAAAACATGGTGACTAGAGTCGATAAGACTGTGTATTATAAAAAAAAAGACTGTGTATTATGTAATTGAAATTAGAAAATAAAATACTTAGACTTTAAAAAGTAAAAGAGGATTCCTGAGTAGCCTGGTGGTTAGGATTCTGGGCTTTCACTGCCATAGCCTGGGTTCAATCCCTAGTTGGGGAACTCAGATCCTGCAAGCCATGTAGCATGACCGAAATAAATAAATAAATAAATGTAAAAGAATAAAGTCAACCCAAGAGGAATAGTATAAAAAGAAACATGTAACACTAACGTAAACTTTTTCCTGGTTTTAGAATTTACACAGTGCCATAAGTTCTTTGGCTATGTTTTTCCATTAAAAAAAATTAAGGTATAATTCACATGAAGTTAAATTCATTCTAAATGTTGAGTAAACAGTTTTGCAAGTTTGGAGAAGCATGCAGTCATTTAATCCCCACCATAATTAAGATACAGGATAGTTCTGGTACCCCCAATAAATTCTTCTATATCCCTTTGTAATTAACCCCCTCCTTTTATCTCTATCTTCTGTTACCCACTGATCTGTTTTTCAGTGCCTTCTGTTTTGGCTTGTCCAGGTTATCTTATAAGTGGAATTGTGTATTATATAGCCTTTGAGTCTGGCTTCTTAACATAACGCATTTGCAATTCATCCCTGTTGGTGAATGTATCAGTAGGGTTCTGCTGTTTTTATGGCTAAGTAGTACTCTATAATATAGATGTACCACAGTTTTTTATCCATTCACCATCTGAAGGACATTTGGCTTCTTTTCAGTTTTGGATAATCATCAGTAAAGCTTCCCTGAACAATTTTGAACAAGCTTTTACATGAATGGGTAAACACCTAGCAGTGAGATTGCTGGGTTCTTTGGAGAGTGTATATTTGACTTCATAAAATTGCCAAATCGTTTTCCAAACTGGCTGTATATTGCATTCTCACTAGAAAATGTATGAAAGTTCCAGCTGTTCCACATCTGACCAGCTATTGGTATTGTAGGTTCAATTGGTTTTAGCCATTCTAATAAATGTGCTGTGTGTATCACACTGTGGTTTTAATTTGCACTTCCCTAATGATGAATGATGGCTGGATGGCATCACTGACTCAATGGACATGAGTATGAGTAAACTCCAGGAGTTGGTGATGGACAGGGAGGCCTGGCGTGCTGCGATTCATGGGGCCGCAGAGTTGAACACAACTGAGCAACTGAACTGAACTGAACTGAAATGAATGTTGTTGAGCAACATTTTATGTGCTTCTTTGCCAACCATATATTTCTTTGGTAAAATGTCTGTTTTGTCCATTTTTCCACTAGGCTGCTTTTTCTTTCGTTGAATTTTGAGAGTTCTTTATATATTCTGGATACAGTCCTTTATCAGATATGTGATTTGCAAATATATTCTCCAAGTCTGTGGCTCATCTTTTCAGTCTCTTAACAGTGTCTTTCAAAGAGCAAAAGCTAATTTTAACAGTCAAATTTTTCATTTTTTTCTTTAATGGACTTGTTTTTGGTATCATATCTAAGTAATTTTTGCCTAACTCAAGCAACAGAGATATTTTTCTCCAATGTTCTCTTATAAAATTTCATAGTTCTAGGTTTTATATTTAAGTCTGTGGTCCATTTTGAGTTAATTTTTACAGAGGGTATAAAGCATGGACTGAAGTTCATTTTTCATTTTTTCTGTATATGGATATTCAGTCATCGTTTATGGTTTCCAACAAATGGCTGTCCTTTTTTTTTACATTGTTTTTGCATCTTTGTCTAAAATCAATTGACCATATATATGTAGGTCTATTTCTGGACTGTCTCTTCTGTTCCAAGGATCTAAAGGTCTAGCCTTTTCCTAATACCATACCTTCTTGACTATTGTAGCTTTAAAATAACTGCAAATCAGGAAACATTAGTCATTCAAATTTGTTCTTTATCAGAATTATTTTGGTTATTCTAGTTCTCTTGCTTTTCCAAATAAACTCAGAATCAACTTGTCAATTTCTACAAAAGTTGCAACTGATATTTTGATTGAAACTGCATTGAATCTTTAGATCAGTTTGGGGAGAGTCTTCTAATTCATGAACATGGTATATCTCCATTTCTTTAGATCTTCTTTGATTTCTTTCTTTCTTTGATATTTTGCAGTTTTCAGCATATAGATCTTGTACATATTTTGTAAGATGTATACCTAAGGATATAATGGTTTTGGTGCTATCATAGATGGTGTTTTTTTATTTCAGTAAGTTCTATAGCTATATTTTCATTGTAGTACAAACCTCTATAGCTATTTTTTATATGGGTTTTAAACATCAATGGTACTTTTCAACTGTGCTAAATCTGAAAACTGATGTTCAAGTAAAGTTGTACTTAAGTACTATATTCATCTTCTGTTGTTGCTATAACAAATTACAATAACTTAGTGGCTTAAAACTTATACTCTTAGCTGTTATTGCTCATGGACCCTTTCTTGTACCATTCCAATATCTTACTTCCATTGTCACATCTCCTACTTCACTGTCAAATCTCCTCTTTCCTCCCTCTTATAAGAACACTGTGATTATATTTAGGCCCCACTTGGATAATCTAGAATAATCTTCCCATCTCAAGATCCTTAACTTAATCACATCTGCAAAGTCTTTTTTGCCATATAAGACAACATTTACAGGCTCCAGGGATTTAAAAAAAAAAACCTAGATGTCCTTGGGGGTCATTATTCAGCCAACCTCCAGCATTAAATAGATTAAAAAATCAGTTATATTTATAAATTCCAATTAAAATTATACTTCGGAAGAACATGAACTTTAAAAAATGGATTGGTAGCACTGCTTTAAAACAAATAGCATTTAAAAGTCATAAATGCACCTTGTCTCCTTGCTTCAGTGTACGGAGTTGAAGCCTTCCAATAGCTTTTTTAGCATCTGCCTTTAACTGTCTCTGTAATAAAAAATAGCAGGTATTAGAGAGGGAGGTGGGAGGGGGGATCGGGATGGGGAATACATGTATATCCATGGCTGATTCATGTCAATGTATGACAAAAACCACTACAATATTGTAAAGTAATTAGCTTCCAACTAATAAAAAATTTAAAAAAATTAAATAAATATGATAAAAGAGGTATAGAGGATTAATAAATATTTATAAGGTAAAAGTTAGTGTATAAGTAAATTCTGAAAGACACAATTAACCATAATAAATGTCCATTTATCTCATATCAAACAGGAATTTTTAAATTACTGAAACCTTATGTTTCCTACCTTCTTAAACAGCAGCTTTGGGCCACAATGATAAAGCTCTATATCCTTATTCCAAATGAATTCAGATGCTTTGAATTTTCAAAGCAGTTTTCCTATTTTCAAAAGCCCAGAGGGTCTTAAAGTACATATTTTCCAATTTCTTTTTTTTTAATAGTGTCTTATTTGGTAGAAAGTGCATAGGATTTGGATTCAAATGAACCTAGATTCAAAACCTGACTTTTTCACTTATGAAATGAAAAATCCTGGACAAGTCATTAAATCTTTGAGCTTGTTTACTCATCTATAAAATGAGGATAACATCAACCCTTCCAGTGTTATTCGGTACTAGGGGGAAAAAAATTGCTGTTTATAACCACTACTGCCTTGTAAGGTGGGAGGATTCTGAGAGCGGTGGATTCTGAGAGTTTTTTGTTTGTTTCACTTAACATATACGTAGATGAGTCTGAATATGCAAAGGCAAGTCTATGGTTCATTTAGGGAATAAGGACTAAAATATTACATTTATATCTATCTATCCATACACACACACACACACACACACACACACATATATTTGAATCAAAAGTGAGGTTTTAATATGGAATCTAGAAAAATGGTACCAATGAACCTATTTGTAGGGGAAGAATAGAGACTCAGACAGAGAATAGACTTATAGACACAGTGGGGGCAGGAGAGGGTGGGAAAAAATGAGACAGTAGCATTGAAATGTGTACATATTACCATGTGCAAAACAGATAGCTAGTGGGAAGTTGCTGTATAACACAGGGAGCTCAACCTGGTGCTCTGTGACAACCTAGATGGGTTGGATGAGGCGGGAGATGGGAGGGAGGTTCAAGAGGGAGGGAGGGAGCACATGTATACCTAAGGCTGATTCATGCTGATGTATGGCAGAAACCAATGCAACACTGTAAAGCAATTATCCTTCAAATAAAAATAAATTAAAAAAATAAAATTTTAAAAAGTATGGAGGAAATCTAAAAGGCAAGGGAAAAGTGAGAAAGAAAGGAATCAATGAGAGACTATCTCTTTGTATGGGATGAACTGGTGGGCGGGGGTAGGGGGGAAACCAGGTAGTATGAGATAGTCAGTGTTAATTTGAAATTATTTGTGAAGCCACAAATAAACCTTCCTTCTATTTCAGTAAAATCTACCACATAGACAAATGCCTCAAGAAAAGATAATATATGTGTAAATTGAAGAAGAGGCCAGGTTTCACATCTGGGTGGATGCTGTATGGAATAGAGAGATAGCATGTTTAGCAGGGCAAGATGATAAGCAATCTTCCTATTTTGTATTATGAAATGAACAAACTTAGAGAAATTCAGCAAAAAACTAGATGGGCAGAACCAGAAGTCTTGTGAAAATGTCAACAGCTTCCTCATCCCCCTGTATGTACCTCCATCCCCAGCAGGGAGACCCCCTAGCTGACATCAAGGCTATATGAAAATTAGAGATAATTTAAGTAAGTGTTTGTCACTCAGTCGTGTCCTATTCTCTGTGACCTCATGGACTGTAACCCACCAGGCTGCTCTGCTCATGGGATTTCCCAGGCAAGAATACTGGAGTAAGTTGCCATTTCCTTCTCCAGGGGGATCTTCCCAACCCAGGGATCAAATCCAGGTCTCCCACATTGCAGGCAGATTCTATACCATCTGAGCCACCAGGGAAGCTATGCAAGTAAAGTATCCAGCATAATGTCTGGCTGATCGCAGACACTCAATAAAATGTTTCTTAAATGAAAATATAAAGTATTTTCATCAATAAGCATTTTTATACATGTCTGTAGTAAATGTATTTTGGAAGGGAATAATCCATGAGTATAGGTGAAGTGAAGTGAAGTTGCTCAGTCATTTCCGACTCTTTGCGACGCCATGGACTGTAGCCTACCAGGCTCCTCCATCCATGGGATTTTCCAGGCAAGAATACTGGAGTGGGTTGCCATTTCTTTCTCCAGGAGATCTTCCTGACCCAAGGATTGAACCCGGGTCTCCTGCATTGTAGGCAGACAATTTACCATCTGGGCCACCGGGAAGTCACATGAGTACAGGTATGTGAGGCTATTCCTTAATGCCCAAATCCGCCTCCTATGTAAGATATCATTTTGTGAAAGGTATTTTACTTGATGCCAAGGTGATTACCGCCAAAGTATTTTTCTGCTGTCACAGTAGCAGCAGAAACTTCTCAGATTGTTATCTGACTGGCAAACATAGCTCATAGAAACAGCTAATAGGAAGGCTTAGCCCTTAGAAGGAAAGAAGTGCGAACTGAAGCCCTTTCACTCCCTGTTTGAAGTTCACTCACAAGGGGAATTTTATGATGGTACTTAATTTTGAGCCTAAATATTTCCCTTCTATTTTGTTACTTGCATCACAATAATAGAATGAAAGTGAAATGAGGTACACTTAGGGTCTTTAGAGCTGGAAAAATTCTTGGAGTTCAACTAGCCTGATATCTAATCTGACAGATAAGAAAATTGATGCCAAAAGAGAAAGACTACCTTGCTCAAAATCTCAGAGTTGGTTAGTGTCAGTCCCACCGAAACCCAGAGTTTGGGAACAGTTAACTCTGACATCAAGGTAGTCATCTTTTTGTTTACTGTGGCTTGGAGTAGGAAGCTAGTACTACTTCCTTATATTTATATAATTATTTTAAAAAATTTTAGTTTGTTTTGTTTTTCTCTTTCTTTTTTATTTTTTTAAATTGTGAAAGTATGATAACACATTTACAGGAGACTTAGAAAATAGCTGCTATATAATTTAAAATTATTTTTGATATCTATTACCTCACTTAATCCTCACAATATCCCCTAAAGGAGACAATATCTCTATTTTAATGCCATTCAAATAGAGGCTTGCAAAAGTAAAATAATTTGTCCAAAAGGGAATGCAACCTCTAAATGACAGAGTTAGTACAGGAAGTCTGCTCTTCATACCCCAAGATTCTATTATAATACAGCCATCCAAAATCATCTGAAGTTTTTCCAACTCCTGGATTCTATGGTCTGGCAAATTATGGCCAGTCCTTATAGTGAAAAAGCAGTATACCCACAGGGCTCTGGCCTTGGACTAAACTTCCAAACATTACTACTTTTGTTTCCTTTAAAACATAAGGTATTTTGACATGAAGAAGAAAAAAATGCGACAATACAAAAATAGAGTCAACAAGAGAAAATAAGACAAGGAAAAAGTGAAGTTGATGAGAAGTCTTTGACAGCCATTTTGCACTTTGTCTTTAGCGCACTTCTGACTTAGGTTTAAGCAACCAGCTCCACGACAACTGGGGAAATGCACTCACAAGGAAGTGATACATCTCTAGTGTATTTACATGATTAAGCCTGCACAGTTTGATTTCTCATTCCAAAATATTCAACAACATATTCAACTGGAGGCATGAGCCTCCAGTGCTAGTGCTTATCAGTTCATCAGGGATGGATGCTAACTATACAACTTTGATTATATCCAAGACTAACTGCAAATTAATTTGAGAGATGGGATCAAAAGCAAACTTTAAATGTAATGTTCAAGTCTATGTTGATGAAAAAAGTGGAACTTACATTAAGACAAATGCTTTTTGAAAAAAAATTGAGGGGGGGCAAAAATATAGGGAAAAATCCAAGATGCCAGAATATCCTAAGCAAGGGACTTGATTATGAAAGATCTCTAAAAGATTTGCAGCACAGCATATACCAGTGTTTAAGGAAGCAGCCCTAGAATTTTAAAAAGCCTTTGAAAGGAAATCTGAATGTTTCCAATAACTCCTACCAAGCTTTTATAAGGAAAATATATTTATTTCAATACGGAGGTGTGACTTGTGGTTTTGTTAAGAAGCACAATTTTTAGAACCTGAATAAAGGTCACTTTTAAACTGCCATCAGCACTCAAAATATTACTATTTCACTGTCACATTGATAGTAGGAGTTTCCAAGATGCGCCTATTCCTCTAAAAATTTACATATGAGAACAAGATTAAGACCAAGTAGTTTACATTAAGGGCTTCCCAGGAGGAGAAGAGGACAACAGAGGATGAGATGGTTGGATGGCATCACTGACTCAATGGACAAGAGTTTGTGCAAATTCCAGGAGACGGTGAAGGACAGGCAAGCGGGGCATGCTGCTGTCCATGGGGTCACAAAGAGTAAGACACAAAGAGTAAACCTGGTGTGCTACAGTCCATGGGGTAGTAGAGTCAGGTGCGACTGAGCGACTGAACAACAACAGGTGGCTCTAGTTGTAAAGAATCTGACTGCCAATGTTTGAGACACAAGAGATGCAGGTTCGATCCCTGGGTTGGGAAGATCTGGAGTAGGAGATAGCACCCCACTCCAGTATTCTTACCTGGAAAAATTCCATGGGCAGAGGAACCTGGTGGGCTACAGTCCATGGGACCGTGAAGAGTCAGACATGAATGAGCACAGCACAGCACAGTTTATATTAAATACATGTTGAGATTTTCCTGGTGGTTCAGACAGTAAAGCATCTGCCCACAATGCAGGAGACCCCAGTTCAATCCCTGGGTCAAGAAGATCCCCTGGAGAAGGGAATGGAAACCCACTTCAGGATTCTTGCCTGGAGAATTCCATGGATAGAGGAGCTTTGCAGGCTACAGTTCATGGGGTCACAAAAAGTCAGACATGACTAAGAAATTAACATTTTGGGAAATATGAAACCTCTCTCCAATTCT